CAAGTACAAGTTCAAGTGGGACTGGAACGATAGGATGGATCCCGTAAAGGTTCCGTCTTGAGCGGGTCGTCAATCCAGGAGTTGATTGGGTGCTCCGACGTCTTGATGGGTCTAACAGGAAAACACCCGAAAATACACCTTGGTCCACCAATTTAATGCCCACGTTCCTTACATTAGCTGTCCCAGCTATGTCAGTTACGTGAAGTAAGCAAGAGAGGAAGAAGAATCGAAGGTAAGAGAGTAAGGGAAATCAGTTAAAAGAAGAGAATAATACCAATGGCGAGGAAAAGTAAAGAAAATAGAATCTAAGTGGGAAGATGGGAATTAGTCAGGAAAAAGGAATGATTTAGTGTTGCCACCAGAGAGCACCTACTTGACGCTCAAATCCCTTAGCCGCAGCTACCTCGACAACATTTTCTGGAAGCAAGTTCCATCGCTCGATGCCTCGACACGATAACCGTGTCTCCGCTCTTACTCGATCGGACCGCGGTTTGTCCAGCTTCATACAATGCTCGCGGTGACCAGCTAATCTAGCAGGACTAAATAGCCAGAAAAACCAGGGCTAACATTCCTAGTCAACATACGGTAGGTTGAGATTATGTACCCTCTAATCCTTCGATAGTGCCTTGACTGCATCCCCAAACTAAGTAGGCTTTCGGGGCAAGTTTGTTCCCGCAACCCCTCGACCAACCTAGTACCGACACACGACACCCTTTCTAGTGCAATTTTGTCCCGGACAAGGCATGGTGGACAGGCCTGGACGCAATATTCTAGGTGGGGTCGCACAAACGCTGAGAAAAGCTTCACAAACACATCAGCGGTTAGTGTCCCGAAAGAACGACGGATAAACCACAACATCCAGAACCCTTTACTAGCCAACTTCATCCAGTTGTCGACAGAGTGTAATGTGGAACAGTGGACGACATCTAGATCAACCTGATGAGTCACGTGAGGAAGTACACTCCCATCGAGCACATAACTTATGGAGGAAGCAGATGCTCCCATACGTAGCACTGAACACGTTGCCCGGTTTATAGGGAGCAACCACAAGACAGACCATTCACAGCGTTTATCCAGAGCCCGTTGAAGAGACACAGGACCTCCAGAGATATCAACAATATTCAGAGCTTTAGGTCATCTGCAAATTAGAGCGATGGTACCTCAAGCTCCTCCGGCAAGTCATTCACGTAGACTGAGAAAAGCAGCGGACCTAGGATAGAGCCTTGCGGAACGCCGCTAAGTACAGCTTGTCGAAACGAAAGACTGCTTCCCACACGAATACACTGTTCCCGTCCATGCAGAAAAGCTGACACCCACTGGAGAGCGCGACCAGATATTCCATACGACCTCAATTTCAGTGAGAGTCGCGAATGGGGGACAGTGTCAAAGGCCTTGGCGAAGTCAATGAACACCACATCCACCGCATGTCCACTGTCTACGGCTTCAGCCCAGCACTCACGAGCTACCAGCAAGTTCGTCTGACACGAAAATCCTTTGCGAAAACCATGTTGCTCGACGCTAAGCAGGCTAAACATATTTAAATTGTTCTCCACTATATCTCTACTAATGTTTCAAGTAACTTAACGACCACGCTAGTCAAGCTGACAGGCCTATACTTAGCCGGTAGGTCTTTGTCACCGCACTTGAAAATCGGGCAGACAACAGCCTCCTTCCATTCGGTGGGTAAGACACAGCTGTTGAGTGACTTCTGAAACACACAAGTCAGAGGTCCACTGAGTTCCACTGCCAATTCGTGCAACAGCTTTGGATGAACAAAATCTGGCCCGGAAGCCGTAGTTGGGTTTACCTCTCTTAACAACCGGTGAATTTGGGACCCAGTTACAGCAATTTTATCCAGAAAACAGTCCCCAGAGACACTTGAAGCTAATTCTATGCATGGCATATTTTATTTCGCGGACAAAGACGTTTGATTACTGCTCACCAAGCACGCATGCTTTGTCATAGTCGCTATAGGCATGTGTCCCATCTCCTCAAAGCAACGGTGGTATGGGCGAGTTTGCACCACAGCGTCCTTCCACGTAAGCGAAGAATTTCTTTGGGTTTTTGATGTAGTATCCGCTAAGCCCTGTTAATACTAAAGCCGGGCCACCTAAGATGTAGCTTCACTCATTTCAAACCAACAGATACTTGTCAAACGTGCTGTTCGACGGAGCTGTTCGGTACGCTCACCAGCATCTAGACCGCTGCTTTAGCAGGCCCTTCCCAAAGGAACCTATCCACGGAGGCTGCGCTCTCGATTGCCTTCTTTTTACCAGTGCGATATGAGGTGCAGGAATGTCGACGAGGTGAGCCCTAAGTTTTTCCCAGGTTGTAAACGGTGTCGGTCTCAGATATAACACAAGACTATGACCTAGCTTCATCCCGCATCACGTGGACGACCGCGGCCCAACTGTTCGGATACCAATTGGTAGTAGCTTGGCAAGGCCGGATAAGGGTACACTGGAAAGACGAGCAAGCGTGATCGCTAGCGCCAAGAGGCGAATCGGATGTAATGTTCTTTACAAAGTCAAGTGGCTTACCACAAACAAGATCTAAAATGGACGGCTGCTGATTGCTAATGTACTTAATGGGGGTTTGCTAACTGGTGTAGCGGCACCTGCAGCGTTAAGTCCAGCAGTTCTGTACCAAACGATTCCAGATCCAAACTGCATGTTAGCGCATCCCAACAAACCTCTGGGAGGTTGAAGTCTCCCAGCACCAGACACTTATTCGCAGAGTGAGTGCGTATAAACTCGATGGTTCCATTTGAGGTGCTCATAGGGCTTCTATACACTAACAGGACCGTAACCCGAACCCAGGAAGCGCAAATCAAGACTGCGCGAGCCTCAACAGATTTGTCGAAAGACTGAAAAACGCTGGTTCCTAATACGTTGATGCGACAACTCACATAAAGAGCTAAACCACCCCCTTGACGGGCAATGGAGCGGCCAGCGCGGAACAGTGCGTAGCCAGGCAGGTAAACATCGCTAACTGTGATTTCCTCAGACAGCAACCTTTCAGTGAAAGCAAGCATATCTGGACGAGATTCGTCTACGAGCAGGCCCACCTTGCACCACTTGTTCCTTAAGCTACGCACGTTACTAAGTACTACTTTAAGGCCTAGGTACGACCAGCCCTGGATCGTGCGCAAGTGGAATAGGTTCTGGCAGGGCGGAAAAGGACAGCAGGCTGACCACCTAAAAACCAACTAATCGAAAACATTGCTCGTCAGCTGCATGCCTGGTTTTAGGTCCCTGATGGGTTCCTTTAACTTTAACCTAACCGCAAACGGAAAGTCTGGTTGCACACTAAATTTGGCACCTTTGCACTTGAAGGCAAACCTCAGTAAGGCCCTGCGCTCTTCTGGGGTGGAGCGGACCACCCTAAGCGGACGGGGTTGATCCATCCATACACGTCTATAAGGAAAGAAGACAAGATACCCGACGGCGAGCTTTTCAGACAGCAAGCTGTGTTGGCATGGCGCTGAATTACCCACGTAAATTGGCATTTCCTTCAGTGCACCAACCAATAGATTTCCAGTCAAGACTTTTGCAGACAGGATCGCGACGGATTCTCCAAACTGGGATGCATCGCTGGGCGAATGCCCCTGCCAAAACAACACTTTAGATCTGACTTGCCGGCTTCAGTTGGTTATGGTCAAGTTACCAACATTTGGCTCCGCAGCGCTGCGTACCACTCTATGGTAGGTGATTAGGCTACTATTGCCGCGCGCGACCATTTCTGCTGTCGAAGAATTTTGCGGGACTACATGCAGTGGTTTTCGGACGGGTTAGCGACACATCATCCCCAACGTGGTCATCATGAGCTCTACCGTGTTGACCATGACGCACATTGTAAGGCTGATTAGCTCACCGCACATGTTCCATTACGTTAAGGAATCCTGATCGAAAGCGCATGAAATTATAGCGCGTGCTTAGTCCGAACGGGAGCGAGCTTCCGCGGGGTGAATGTGTGACAACTCTTCTATTGGTAATCAGAGCTATTAACCGTGCAAGAGAAAGGTTGCAGAGTAGCCAGCAGTCACACCTAGCAATGTCCACTAGGCCATCATACATTGTGAAGTACTTGGCCACATTGATCTGATAGTTGCCACTAACGAACAGTGTGCGTTATCCTTCCTTGTGTTGGATTCTTACGTGCATTTTACCTTGTGGATGCTATGGCGTATTTAGCGTAGTTTTAACAAAGCCCTCAAGCACGGAGTAAAGTTGGTTTGACGAGCGACCTACACTATAAGTAATAAGCCAATGCTCGACGTTGCGTCCAACCGCTTGCCAAGGATTGCCTCACCCAACTTTGGAAAGTAAGCAATTTTAAGCATTCGTATTTCTTGGACACGCAACTTAGATTCGCCTCAATCGCGGGTCAGGCGCTTTACGGACTAGCAGCGTCAGTAGAACAGGATATGTACTAGCGCGCCAACAGACCGTGGCAAAACGACCCACGTGATGTGTTGGTTCAAGTAACCCGCGTTGATTCCAATCCAGCAGGACATTTGGCAGGCTGCATCCGCTGTTCTAGCTGGCCCAACTGGTCTAATTCGTGGCAAGTGATTTAAAGTAGCTTATTGGTGGTTTCTGTGCGTAACGTAAGTGTTGTAGAAAGTAGAAGCCACCATTAAACCTTGTAAAATAATCTGCTTCGACGGGGATCAAACCCCGGACATACGGATTACCGGTCTGCCGCTCTACCAACTCAGCTACCGAGGACGCCTTCATATCCGGTGCGATCACTTTCAGACCTGATATGAACATGAGAAGTGAACTACAGTCTAGGCTGTACGACGGAATATCCTCGGGCCAGTCACAGCTACCATTGGAGAGCCGAGTCTTAGGTGACTTAATAACTGGCGAAAACCCGCACAAGTGCCGGCTGCGCTAAAGACGTCAAAAGCTAAACGGAAACGCAAAATAAGGCGAAATGATGATGGCATTCCATGCTGAGTACGAAAGCGTATTGCCTTGCAAAACTAAGCTCCGATGCGTTACAATAGTCCGAAAGAACACAGAACAAGTCAGCTTCCTCCGGTGCGGCGTGGCAAACCGCTCTCGAATAGAAGCGTGGAAAGTTAGTCTAGTCAATGAAATAATGGACAGATGGCTAGTACAAATTCAACTAAAACTAACCTATGCGCATGCTGAATGAGGGAAGGTTTTAGCTTTGTTAGATCTTAAAGGAGGCGAAACGGATAGTGCGCCACTAATCAGCATCCCAAATATTCAAAACCAGTGGGTTGGAACGTTTGCACTATTTAGAGTGAACGCACATGTGGATAAATTTCGTTTGCGCTATTTATGTTAGGTCCCTATTTCTCGGTAGTGGACGCGTAAATAATATATCTGTGTATGTCATTGATGCGGAGTTGGAGGAATGTTTCAAACCTCAATTGGATTCTTACCTGTTGAGTAAACTCGGAACTTGTTGCTTGGTGTTGCTTGGTGTTATAGTATGCTGTGATCTAAAAACCACCCAAGATACTTTGAAGAAGGTTGCTGCGGCTAACAGACTACTGTGTTCTATACGAAGAGCCTTCTCACGATTGACGCCGGAGATCTTCAGACTTATCTTTTCCTCCCATGTGCGTCCAATCCTCGAATATGGATTACCCGCAGTTCATCCACTTTCAAAGCTTGAACATGGCTTGATTGAAAAAGTTCAGCGACGCGGTTCTAAGTATATCTTTGAGTTCCGACACCTGCCATATCACCTTCGTCTCCAGCATTTGAATATGTTCTCCCTGGAATATCGGCGTCGCCGAGGCGATCTGATCTACGCTCGGCGCATTCTGCGAGGCGAGATAGGAAACGAGCTCCAAGATTTCTTCCAGGTTAACACTGGGTGTTCGACTCGGGGCCACTGCTGGAAACTGTTCAAACCTAGGAGACTCAGACTTCGCTCTGATTTTACACTATCGACCCGTGTGGTGAACGACTGGAACTGCTTGCCTAATTCCGTCGTCAACGCGCATACGGAAGAATGTTTTAAACGATTGTTGGATTTATACCTCTTGAATTTGCAGGGATCTTGTTGTTTCTTATGTAACTGTGACAATTTAACTTGTTAATTGCTGTTGCGCCAACACCTGCTATGATTGGGAGGTGATGGAGCTGACAAATGTCTTTCCTTCTGCTCTCTATAATACAATGATTACAACAATGATTCTTGTGTCAATGCAGCGGTTCCATTGGTACAGACTTGCAATGTCCACCTTGATCCATGTGACGAACGGGAGGCAATGGAACTAAAAAAGAATTTTTCCTTCTACTCGTTACATTGCAATGATCTATTGATAAACCTACTATCAGGTCGTAGCGTTAGGGCTTTGTACCGTACATTGGCGGAAAAAACAGCACACTCGTTAGTCGAAAGTATATTTATCCGTGGATGAGGATGTGTCCAATGCGATGGGAATTTACTGTTGCAATGTGTTATAGTGCTCGCGGTGGAATAAAAAGTCTGATAAGGTAGTATCCTGCTACAATGTATGAAAAAGAAGTTCTCGAAAGCTTGTAAAACGGGTTAATAATCTACAGTGGTACGCCGTAAAAAAGTAACAAGAAATAAAAGGTACAGAATTTGACTTTCATTTAGTGTCAAAGAACATCAGTTTCTGCACACAAGAAGTTCATGCAGCCTATTATTTAGTTTGAATTTGTAAAACATGTAGGTCGGGTATATCATGTATTGAGCGCTGTATTTGGATTAGATTAAAACGCGCCCTTTACTTCTCTGCAGTAGCTCTGTAGGTAACTACTGCTCGCTACTCTTTGTTCATGGCTTCAGTTCTAGAGTTGTCTGTATAATTTAAAGTCGATGTGCCATTTGTTCATATTATCTCAGAATCTTGAGCGTATCGATGTATTGTTTGGTTTCGTCTCTCGCCAGTTTACCTACGCGATCGGAGATTAGTGTAGATTTACTGCGAGCTTAGGTGTTTTTGTTTTTTAGTCGTGTAGCTATTTTGTTATTTATTGACTATGAGACGAAGTCATTTTCCTTTTTGCAACCACAACATTAACTGTTTGGACCTTTCGAATTGTTCTAACCTACATCTAGAACTGTACTATTTGCGCTTCTACTGATTATCTCAGTTGGCGTTTCTCTTCACTAGCCCTTTGCTGATGCAATATGACAATTTTCATCCTTACAAACACTTGCTTTATTACAGTGGAAGCATTTTGGTTTACCTACGAGTTATTGGTTATGATATGTAAAACTTGTAAACAGGGGCGATCGAGGCACCTCTTCAATAGATATTTGCACTGTAGCGAGATGGTCTTCCTCATGTGATTCGCTCCTTAACGCAATTAAATGTCAGTTGTCTTCCAGCGTTGATTGGATTACATCGCAAACTACTGCCGGCACTCTCAAATTACGGTCCGTTGACGAGGCTCGATATTTAGGTGTCATTATGACGAATACTTTCAAACGTCAGCGGTGTCAGCATGCCGCCAACAAGGCGCTGCAGAAGCTATTTCACCTCAAGAGAACATTATGCAACACCAAGCCAGATGTTGTCTTCCATTATGTAAGGCGGTGGTACTACCCCACCTAGTACTGTAGTCAGGCATGGGTAGCGTATCTCAGAAAGGATGTAACCTGCATAGAAAAGGCCCATAAGTTGGAGACTAGGATGATCGAGGGTTAGCGCGGGATATCATACGAAAAACACTTAAGGGGCCTAAGATTGTTCTCTATGGAGCGGCGCGTGGCACGAGGTGATCTGATAGAAACCTTCAAGAGTATGAAGGGTCTTATCGGGATCAAGCCCTCCGATTTGTTTGTACTTGCTGCATCCGACCACCTACGGGGGCATGAACTTAACCTTAAGCACCAGAGGTCCATGCTGGAGATTAGGGTCAAGTTCTTCGCAAATCGAGTTGTTCATAATTGGAACAAACTTGCTTCTACCTTAATTGAAAGTGCCACTGTAACAGCCTTCAAAAACGGCCTGGATAACTGTTGGCCGGATCTTTTCCCTGAATTATTGTAACTTTATTGGCAATTAGGATAGACCGTTAGGTCTACGATCCAAGAAAGTACAAAGGTTGCTCTTCTCTTGCTTCATTTCTTTTGCAGATGCAAGGAACACAACTCAGAAGTCGAAGTATTGGGGGCTTGGGTTTGCTTTCCTGTACACGAAACGCCGCTCGTTAGGCGGGGGCCTAATTTCGTCCTTGGAAACTGACCTGACCTAACCTACCCACACTCATACGCACTCACCCCTAGATTTTGAGTGCGCGACTCATGACACAGTGTCCTTATATTTGACCCGCAAGTCGTTGATGATTATCTTCCTTCTTTAAATTAATCGCAACGAGGCTGGACCTTAACTTTTGCGGTCGGTCGGTGGCCGAGCGGTATGCTCGTCTGGTTTGCAACCATAAGGTCACCGGTTCGAATCCGTGTAGGGGCGGGCATCCTCGCGGTATACTCAGCCCACGCGCTACTGGTGGTGATCGCGTGGCAGCGAAGCGCCGTTACGGCTTACAGCTGGTGATTTATTTTATTTATTTATTTAACTTTTGCGACGGGTTGCCTACCACTTTGACTCATTGTTCTATACTGGGTGATGCCCCTGGGCTCCTTGTGAGCTACTCCTACCAGGTTTGTCAATGGTTAGAGGTCAGACAAACAGTATCCTGCCCCTCCATGTTGGGGGGTATTGAAATGGGTTAATGTCCATTGGTTCATTGGTGTGTGGAGAGCAGGAGGGGAGACCCTTGTCATCTTCATCGATTCCGATTCAGTGCAGGTTGGATGCAACTGGCTGCGAAGCGGTATTCCTCTGGAAATCATCGCCTTTGCAGTAGGAGCAGCAGCGCCCTGCGGTACTCATCAGATGGCAGTCAAACAGCCGTTTGAAACTTTCTCCTGTCGGTGCATCAGAAATGATCTCCGGTAGGCTGTTCCAGTCATTCACTACACGAATTGATAGGACAGCCTCTGGACGGACGTGAAGTATTCGGCTCTTGTACAACTTCCACTTCTGCCTCTTATCGGGCCGTCCACCTTGAGCCTAAAGTGCTTTTGTACCTCATTTCCAAGTTCTCTTAGGATCCGTCTGATATAGATAAGATCACCACGGCGCCGACGATAAGCCATTGGGAACATGTTCAGCTTTCTGAGTCGAAGTGGGTAAGCAAAACCACGAAGCTCCATGACGGATTTCGAGCCACGCCTCTGAACTCTTTCTAGCAAGCCGCATTCAGATTTTAAGAGGTGATAGGTAGCTGGAAGCCCATACTCCAATATCGTGCGGATATGTGATGTGAACAGAGTTCTGAAAATTGCCAGGGTGTTACGGGACAACGACCTCCGCTGAGCACCCAGCATCCTGTTTGCGGCCGCGACCTTTCTCAAGGTGTCTTAGGAAGCTTTAAGGTCTTATGACATGATAACACCCACACCATTCTCGTGCAGAACATTCTTGAGATATTCATCAACATGGTGTAAACCGAATGAATCCGGGTTACCAATTGGAAAAACATCACATTTGTCATAGTTAACGGGTAGTTGCCACTTGACGGACCAATCGTGCAGCTGGTCCAGCGCCGTTTGGAGTCTGTCCGCGTCCTCAAGATTAGCTACTTCTGACAATAGCTTGAGATCATCAGCGTAGACTAAACAGTCGGCTTGAGGAGCTGCAGGGAGGTCAATAATGTAGGGCTTGAAAAGTTCCGGACCAAGGACATAGCCTTGTGGGACTACGCTAGTCATAGACACAGAGCCAGACAACGTTTGGTTCACCTTCACTTGAAGAGACTGATCTCTCAAGAAGTCCGCAACCCATGCAAGGACGTTCCCGGTGACGCTAATTCCCTCTAGTTTGAGCAGAATTCGTTTGTGTGAGACTTTGTCAAAGGTCTTGCTGAAGTCAATGTAGATAACATCTAGCTGTCTCTGGTCCTCTACCACTTTGACCCATGGGTCTCTGGCAGCCAGCGGGTTAGAGATGCAGGAGTGAGCCCAGCGGAACCCGTGTTGAGCGGGGGTGATGGCGCACAGGCTTTCGCATTGGGTTTGGAGGGCGCACTTGACGATCCGTTCCATGAGCTTGCAAATCACAGACGTCAGGCATATCGGTCGATAGTTTGCATGATCGTGCCGGTTCCCACCTTTGTACTTAGGCATTACAATCCCTACTTTCCAGTCAAATGATAGGCGTCCGTCTGCAAGAGAACGCCGGAAAACTTGATGTTTTGGATCAGCAATGTATTCTGCTACCATCTTAAGGAATAACGGGTGGACTCCATCAGAGCCCGATGCGGAGTTAGGGTTCAGGACAAGAAGGAGTCTTTTGACTATCTCGGGACTATCTCGCATTACCCTCCTGGGTAATGCGTTGCCAGATCATCAGTGGGTTGTGACGGTTCCACACAGTAGATCGAAGTGTACTGCGAGGCTTGTAGTTGAACCTTCTGACAATCTTCATAGAGCAGTGTGTCCTCTTCCTGGCAGGATAGAGCAGGGATACCACTGCCAACCTTGGTGTTTTGTTTCAGGTACGAGAACAGCTTCTTTGGGCAGGTTCGTGATTGCATGACTAGGCTATCTTCGTATTGTGATCGTTTCTGGCGCTTTCTGAGAGTGCACAGATTTCTGGTCACTTTGTACTTCGAGTAATCTGACATTACCTGTGTTGACTTGAATATGTCCCACAGTTTGCGTCGTCTCTTCATCAGGGATCTCACCTCTCAGTCGATCCAGCGGGGGCCTTTGGGAAAAACCTGGCCTTGGTGATAAGAACAACTTTTTCGATGATCGACATCATCTTCATCAAGATTCAGGGATTGTGGAATGGTCCAGTCTGTGGTGCTTACCACTTATTGAAATCTGGATGGGACAACACGCCAGAAGTTTCGACGGCGTGTTCCTTGATCATGTATGGCAAGGCGGCATGCCCAAAAGATTATAGTGGTCACTCCGGCCGAGTGGTTGTAGTATCTTCAGGCCATGGAGATCAGAGAGCGCTGGTGTGAGGACGAGATCCAATATGTTTGGTGTTTGACCCGATATCATCCGTGTTGTTGCTGAGATGGGCTGGATCAGATTGCATTCGTGAATAACGTCGGGAAAACCAGCCTCGCAGGAATCTTGGTAAAGATCACAGTAAAGGAGGTTCCATTCGATACTGGGTGCATCATCATCATCATCATCATCATCATCAACAGCAGTACATCAGCCATTTGAACTGGTGCTTCGCTGCCACACAACCATGAGGACCTATGAAATAAAGAATAAGAAGAGGGAGAGAAGGGGGACTTACCTGAAAACCTTAATGCCCTAAGCAAACATTCAGGGTCAAGGCGCCTACACCTTGTGTAGACAACATTCCGTCACAAACAGCTGGCTATCGTGCAAAGATAAGGTGCATGGAAGTCGCCCATTAGCAGACAGTTCCTTCCTCTACCATTGGTTTTTACCGACTGTAATAGACGGACGCCTGAGCTCAGTGGAGATCTGTAAGCCACACCGACTGTGTGCAGCTGATAGCCGTCATGAATTCGGCACCACAGTATTTCTGAGGCTCCGTCATTGTCGCAGAGCTTCGATAACGTGTCCCTTGAGCAGGACCTCGAGTAGAGAATTACTTCACCCCGTCCGCCCACTAGAGCGATCTGCTCGTGTGAGTTGATATCCTGATATGCTAATCTCAGCGTCCTGGATCTCTGTTGATAACTATGTCTCCCTGAAAGCCAGTAAATCTGGCTGATGCTCAGTAATGAGAAGAGGAATCTC